TCAAAGCCAATTATTTTGGCTAGTGTAATCCAGGCTCGGCTGCATATTGAAGCAGGATGTAGTGGGAAGTAGAATACTACCAGACAATATTGGACTGTTAGAGGTATATTGCTATTATGTTGAATCCTGGTAGCAAGAATTTGCACCAAAAACTGTCTGAATACAAAGTATTATCTTAACATTTGCAACAATTGTTCACCTTCTTAATGAACAGCGCTGCATTTCTTTTTTATAAAAGAAATACGTAAGCTAACACTTAATGTTTTTTTCTCCCTAGTTGGTGGTCATAATTCCAGTGAAGATGCAATTGCTTGTATGGAACTAACACTTTGGAAGGTCAAGGAGGATAATAAAGGGAGAAAATGGTGACTAGTATGGTTTGGAGGAGCAGGAAGGGAAAAACAACATTGATTTGACTCGCTGTTTTTTAATGCTTCAGTATCAATCATTTGTCTGATGTCCAGTGGTGGCAATGGATGCTTTAATAGGAAAATCTGATTATATCTACTTCTGAAGCTAAAAAATGCACAGGAAGGAGAGAATAGGAATGCACTAAATACAAGTAAGCTACGTGGAGTAAATTCTTTTGTGTTACATAGCAAGCCTGTGCTGTTTTGTAAAAATAATAATGTTTCTGTAATCATCGTTACTGCTATGTGCAGCTGAAAGCTAGCAATTGCAAGAAGTGAAAGTACTAATTATTTAAACTTCCGGATATAACTTTGATTTTGTGTCAGGTTTGTTCAGCATATGTGAAATAAATCCTACTTTCACATAGCAGAAACTAGAGCTCTTGAATTTTAAGATGCATATTCTCTTTCGGTTTCCCTTCACATTCCTCTTTACCTCTCCTCTTCATCTGCTTCCAGAGGAGAGGAGGAAGAACTTTTAACAAACTACGTTAATTGACACAAAAAGACATAACAGCATTAATGTGACCTCTTCTGGAGCAGAATAAGCTGGTCTCTTTTAAAAAATTTGTGCCTACAGGAAGCTTTTCAATAGTAAAAAACCAGTGAGCTTTGCTGCTTTTGTTCACTGTAGTCACAGTTAAGAGCTCCCACAAAGTACAGTATTTTAGGAATAAAATGTGCTCGCTGTTTCGTGTAAATCTGACTATTTTCCAAGATATAATTCCCTGCCTCCCACTAAGGATGTGCTGAAGCATATGCTGCCTTCAGAGAGCGAAGTAAGTCAGGGACTTTAAAAGTCTATTTTTGTCACTTATTTTTGTGGGAAGGGAGTAGAGGCTCTGAGATGAAATTATACTTTGCCTTAATTCTTCAGAGACTGTTGAAGAGTGGGATGGAGGGCAGGATCACAGAAGTATTACCAGAAAACATGACAGTAGGTTTGCTTGATTTGAGCCTTAATAGCCTGGAGCAGTTTGGCCACTTTGTTGCAGCTGCTGTTTAGTTAGAATTCCTCTGTGTTGAGCCAGTCACCTTTCATATACTAATGGCTAATTGTGTGCCTTGGAAAGGAATGGGTGTGTTAGGAGCAGGGAATGCCATACAAACCAGGACAGGAAGAGAGCTAACAGCAAGAGGGAAAACTTCTGTTTGACCACAGCTGAACTATTCCCTCATAATTTAATTGCTTGTTTTTTCTACCTAGGCCTCTGCTTATTTTCTGCATTTCCCCTTACCTCATCTTCCAGAGATCAGAGAATCACCAAATTGCTGAGACTGGCAGTCGCCTCTGGGGATCATCTAGTCCAAAGCCCTGCTCAGAGCAGGGTCAGCTAAAGCAGATTGCCCAGGATCGTGTCCAGTCAGGTTTTGAACATCTCCAAGGACGGAGATTCTACAGCTGCTCTGGGCAACCTGCTGCAGTACTCAACCACCCTCACAGAAAAAAACTTTTTCTTCTTATGTTTAAGTGGAATTTCCTGTATTTCAGTTTGTGCCCATTGCTTCTTATCCTGTCACGGGGTACTGCCAGGTCTCTCTTCCTTACTCCCTTTCATCTGGTATTTATACATACTTTGAAAAGACATAGGTAATGATCAGCACTTTGTATTTTTGTTTCAGTAGATGCCTGACCATTATATTTTGGGTGGTTGAAGAGGGCTGTGTTTTACTTAAAGCATGTGTCAAGCACTGTCTGCAGAGAGACAGGAACTGAATATGCCCACCTTTTGAGGCCAAGTATATGTTTCCTTTTGGATTACTGGGGAGTGGGAGAAGTGCAGGCAGTGAGTGGATTAGTTGAATTCATATTGCTGCAGGATGGTTGTGTCCTACATTTCAGCCAGTCCATGAGGGTAAAGGTGCTTGTTTGACCTGTTGTTAACACTCTCCTCAGAATGATGCCTAGTGACCTTGTGTTACACTAGTAAGAGATGTCTGTTCTCATTTGATGTCATAGCTTTCCTGCCAAGCACAAAGTGTGCCTCTGTGGCTCCTGAGGTTCTCCTTAATCTTTAGAAGTATTAAGGATTTGTGTGTTTTATCGCATTGTGCTCTGACTTTTAAATAAAGTTGAGGATGAACCAGGAGCAGGTTTGGAGGAGGAGCTGTGGAAGGGCTTTAGTTTTGCCTTTGTCTTTTAAAAGGTATGCTTTTTTCTGATCAGGTTTCTGGTTCGCCTTTAAAGCACTGATAACACTTGACTGTAAGCAGTTCCCTGCCTATTCAGTAACACATACTCCTGAAAGTGTGACCAACTCCGCTTGTCTAAAACCATTCTCTAACCTAAACCTAAACATATACTGGTCCTGAGCATGAGTTTGATAGCTGTATATGAGAGAATATAGGAAAATTAAGGCTGTAGTATCAGAAAAGAGAGCACAGGGTAGACTGACACTGTAAGCTCGTGCATAGAGGTAGGCAGGTGTAGATAAGCAGAAGTGCATGAAGAATATTAGGGTATGGAGAACTTAGGATAATGGAACTGTTCGGAGCTGATAGCCTTATGCTCTTGCCAGCAGAAAAACAGGCAGAAGACTCTTGGGAAGGAGAGGATATGGAATCTGAAATATTGTGCTGCGGAAGACAACATGCAACCCCCTAGTGATTAAGCTGAAAACTTACTACCCACTCCCATGAATCACAATTTCCTATGCTCGATAACAGACAGTAAAATCTAGTTTTCAAACCTGGAAAACCCAGTGCATGTTCCAAGCCTAGAAACAATTTAACTATCTGAGATTCTGATGCAACTTGTGAGTAATTTTTAATAGCTGTAGCTTTGCAATATATAAATTGAATGGAGACATTCAGAGGTGTTTGGAGTTATTCTGTGTATTTTTTTAAATGGTGATTAAAGTTAATCTTAATTTTATCACAATAGATTAGAAAATTAATGTATGCCACAATGTTAACTACAGACATAAAGAACATTATCAAGGACATATTTAAATGACCTTCAGCTAAATTTACAGTAAGATTTGAGCCCTTAAAACGGAGACAGTATTAAGGCTGCTGAATGATCCTGATTCTTTTCTTATGTGGTCTATTGATCAAAGTAAAAGTTTCCCATAGAAGAGTCTCATATCAAAGTGGCAGAATAGTCAGTAGGGCTGTCTGCTTGTTAGGGAATGAGATGATAATTTTAGACCCATGAGAAATTGTTTATAGAAAGTGGAGCAGTTCCAGCAGATGTTGTTAGCTAGCTTTGCCTGGCAGCCAAGCCAACGCACAGAGGAGTCCATTTCTATTCACCTTGCTGACCTGTAGGAGCCTACTCAGACAGCAGAATGCAATTCTCATGCTTCAGAGAAAGGCCCTGCCAAGTAGTCTTTTCTGAAAGTTATAGTGGATTTTTTTCTCTGTTCTCATTTGGAGTTATTCTACTAAGATTTCATTGGTCCGGTCGATCTGTGATCTCTTTGTAAACTCAGATTTTAGCAGTGGGACTTACAGTGCAACTCTGCCTATTTCACAACCATACAAGTGATGTCAACATTCTTCGTTGAGCTTTTCAATAAGGCTTTTGGTGCTTTTCCTTTTTGAGTCAGAACTGATAATATGCCCGCAGTGTAACTTTATACTCTGCTATGATATCCCTTCCTGGTATCCACCCACATGTCCCTACCCAAACTAAGCATCAATAGGGAAACTCTTCTCTCCATCCCTTTCCCCTCCTGCCCCAAAGTCCTAGGGAGTGATCCACACATCTAGAGAGTCACTGTGATCTGATAGCCAGTTATGAGCTGGTAAGTCATTGGTGATGAGGGGAACATATGTGCAAAGCATGAGGTAAGCTCTATGTGAAGTTTGAATAGGGTAAGTCTTACAGGATCGCAAGTTGTTGACTTGGTGCCAGAAGCTCACGGCTCCACCTACCTCTAATGGTCTAACATTCTAGAAATGTCCAGAAGACATTTCTGGCAGGCCATATATCACTGTTTTAAAGCATTTTAGTTAAACATTTTTAAGAGGCTATATCATACAAAAGCCCTGCTTGTATAAAATTGGGTAGTAATTTATAATCATGCAGTGAAACTATTAAATCAAATACAAATTGCTAAAGCTCCATGTATATGCAGGCTAATTCTAACAATGTTTTACAATATATAATATGTTTCTGAATCCCATGGTTCATGATAATTGCCATATGGCTGTCTGAATAGCATCAAACACTTCAATATATATGTGCATTTTTTCAAGTTAGGTAAACATTGATATTTGGCATAGAAACTGGCTGTTAAACTGCACAATGAAAGAGCAAAAGCATTCATTGTATCCTACAAGTGTCAGAATTTTTGAACAAATTATTTCTGCTAGCTCAGTTTTCATATGCAAATAGGAGGCTTAATTATTCTTAGTGGGGATACTGGATTGACATCTGCTTCTAACTTGCACTTTCACACTGAGCTTAGCATTTTTGTTTGAATCACAATGAAATGTATAACTTGCCGTAAGATTGTGGTTTTGCTATCAGTAGCTCTTGGAAAGTATCAAAAATACCTAACATGGTAACACATAATGCATTACTGTAACTGTATGCATACATTATATCTACATTTCTAGGGAAAAAAAACAGCGCATGAAACAGCAGATTTTATGACTTTAGTCCATTCCTACTAAGAACAGTATGTACACTTGTGCAGCCTGTGGAGGCAAAGCTTACTGTGTGATATACACATACATATCTGTAGTTAAACAATATTATACAGTTAGAGCTATACAGAGTTCTCACATTTTGGACTCCAGAAGACTGAGTTAATACATCATTGATGAATGAAGATTTTTCCCTGTCTTATGCAGCTTCTTCAGCGGAGCAATCAATGCCTGCGTAGGTGAACTTCTCATACAGGGTGGTATTCACATATGTCTAGGGAGAAAAATTTTTTTAAGTGTGATAAAAGCTGCATTGTTTCAAGAACCCTAAACTATACTGAAATTATTCATGGCCTAATTCTTGTCTAGGGATTCATTCTTACCTTTCTTTCTTCTAACATCCTGTTCAGTGACACCAGTATCTGAGCAAATGACGGTCTTTCGTATGGCTTCTCTCTCCAGCACTGTCTCATTAGGTCATACCTTTAAAAATCGAACACCAACACATAATGGTTTAGACACATAAGTTAAAGCTACAAGTTCATGCTTATTGAAAGATTGTGTTAGACATTCCATTTTTCAAATAAACTGCATAGCTGGATTTACATTGCCCCAGCTTGTTGCTGTCTAGAAAGAATTCTCTTTTTTCCTAGAATAATCAAAATGTTCTCTTTCAGCTGAAGCCCAGCCATGTTGTACAAAGAATGTTTGAGTATATGTGGCAGAAACAGAGCCTGGGAAGGGGTTCATGGCAAATAGGAGTGCATGCTGGGTACAAAAGGCCTTAAATAATTATTTCCACTTGCGCATCCTATTTAAAGTTTAAAAAAAAAAAAAAGTAACTTGCATATTTTCCTGAAAAAACAATTATTTTCTTAGTTTCTTATAGAGATCATTTATCTTGTTTGGCAGATCCTGTGTTGTGTTGTATTATGTTCTTTTGTTTGCGGAGGTAGTTACTTACACTTCATCATCACAATTGAGAGGCTTTTCCAGTCTGTACCCTTGAGGCAATTTTTCATAGAGTTCTGCACATGTCATTCCACAATAAGGTGTTCCACCTAAAACAGATTTAGCCATTGTCATGGACACATTCTTCATAGATTTTTGTAAATGAAAATCTAAGTTTAGCAGAAATGAAAGAGTGACTGATTCAGTAGCATATAAATTAGTCCAACATTAGGCTATTTGTTGCAGCTACTCTTCTTGTTGCTGTGTCCATCCTGAATACTTCATAGCAGTGCAGAGAAAAATAAAAGTATACGTTTTTATCATCTGCAGGCCCGGCCCAAGTTTCTGTACAGTTCCAAGGACCTGCATCTGATTTAATATGAAATAGTTTTGCAGTACCCTCAGTGGCTATAGGTAAGTCATTCCTTCATTAATGTAGTATTAATAAAGTCAGATTTGGATCTATGCAGCTATTACTATGAAGCAATTTTCTTCATGTGCAGATGTTTAAATGCTTAGAATCTTGATTCTCCACAGTGAGAATCACTGTATTAGTTCACACCCATATCTAGCACAAGCTCATTTGCTAAAAAGTACAAATGGGCACAAATTAGAGAATAAGAGTTTGGGATTAGTCCTACATGCAGTGTGAACATCAATCAGTTTGCACCCCTTGGCCAGCAGACACTCCAAGACTAGTGATAAAGAGTATGTAACACAGTCATTTTGAATGGTTTGAGGCTGTACCACAAGTATCATGAATAGTAGCGTTCGCAGAATAGAGCTCAAAGTTCTATCTGAAGACGAATCTTAAAAATCCTTCTTCTACACTACCTACAGTAAGAGAGATATGGCAAAAAAATCCTTCAAATGTAAGTCTTGATTTAAAACTCAAGGATGCTGAGCAAAAGCCACCCATAAACCTCAAAGCATATTGGATTAGGGCCATAAATCATGTAATAGGCTGGATTTTTACATTTAGTTATTGCTTATGTTTTGTAGTAAAATAAAAGCATGGTAGCTTTGTTACTCTCATTTGGAATGGTACTGGAATTGAAAATGAGACAGTCATTTTTCCAATTATATTGAAGCTAAGTCAGATTTAGTAAAAAGGCAAAAATGGAGTATGGTTCAGAGCAAGGCGTGCTTTAACAGACTGAGTGAATGGAGCTAGAGTAGCCCAGATTTGTTTATTTGTGCAGTATGAAATCCAGATACTTACCTAAACTGACAATTTCCCATAACAGGACACCATATGACCATCTGCAACAGAGGGATATAATTCAGAGTGCTACAAGAATGTAACAAGATGTCATGTTTCAAAATGGTAGATAGTTTTGCTAACATTCAGAGGACACAGAGAAGTGTGATTTATTCTTTTCACTTTTTCTTACTATTTTTGCATAACAATAGGGTTCTTAGAATCAGAGCACAGAGAGTAAGATCCTCAGCAAAATTTATTGTCTTAAATCCATCCTTTACTAGACTGTTCTCTCTTGGAAAATAGCACTATTATAGAATTACTTTGCCAAATACTAACTCCAATTTCCTGACTAAAATACTGAATTACTTTGGATCTTCAAAGAATCCAGCACAATTCTGTTTAAAAAAAAAACAGATATAGCTAAATTAGTGCCCCAAATTCAATTACCTTGTGGACTTAGAATAGTTTCATAGATATTGATGATGAAATAAAAATCTTTTTTTTGGTGATTTTTTTTTTTTCCTTGCCATTTGCTCACTCATATGCTGACACAATTACTGATTTTTCTGAGTTAAATGAGTGGATGTCTCATCTCAGTTGTCAAACTTTATTTGATATTGATAAGGATATATATATATATATATAAAAAATATATATAAAAGTTTGAAAACATGCTTACACATCACTGTTTGTGCTTTAAACACTGTAATTCAAAGACTCAATTGCCATCCATCGCACTGGAAGCCGTCCCTGGAAATTATTCATTAAAGTCAGTTTGTTAGTTGTTGGAGTAACAATACTGCAATTGATGCAATTTTTTTGCAAAAGCTACAGTAATGAAAAATTACTTCATGCAAGTCAATGTTATCAAGCAAATAGACTTACTCGGATTCCAAAACTTAAGTTGTGCATTTACTTTCCGGAGTTACAGTTCCCACTAAGGCTAACAAAAATTTATTGAACGAGAGTCCAGAGGAAGTGGAAATAATTCATGAGTGATGCTGTGCTATGCCTCTGACATTTCTGTCCCTTTCCCATGAGAAACATCTCATGGTCTGTGAGTGCATGAGGTTCATTAGGCGTCTTCCTGTTCCAGAGCTCTGAAAGCATTAGCTCCGGACAGCTGCTACTTTTTCCACACAGATCCTCAAATGCCTTTGGTTACCATCTTGTTAACTTGGGCCTCGTTCCTTAGAATTAGACCAGCTTATCAGCTGAACAAATCTAGTATGGAAATTTAATTGTCATAGCTGTACAGATATACACACATGCACATATCCAGTTCATATCAAATATATATTAAATATGTGCCTATAACCTAATTTGACAGTCTGATAACTAGCTTGCAAAACCAGTGGTTTTAGAGTTATTTTAGTTATATTATCAGTTATTCATATAATTAATTTTCAGTTATATTTTATATAATATTACAAATATTGTGTAGAATTGGTTTACAAGTAAGGTAAGTATAGTTATAAACATTTGATATAAGTGTTTATGCACTTTAATGATAAAGTATAAACAGTTAAATAGTAACTATGTGTATGGATTTTTGTTTACATGAAAACGCAAGAAAAGAGACAAAACAAAAAAGGAAGAAAACAGGCTATAGAAACAGTTTGTTTTGATCCTTACCATGGTCTTCTTAACATAAACTTCTTGACCTCTTGATAAGCCAAAGTCAGCTATTTTTGCAACATAATTTTCTCCAACCAAGATGTTCCTTGCTGCCAAATCTCGGTGAATAAACTACAATTTGAAAAAAGGAAATCAGCATGGTATGGTATCTGTGAGCTTTGCACATACTATTCTACTACTGTATGGAAAATTGTGGACATTCAGAGTAAAAGCCAAAACCAAGTGATTGGTATGTCACTACCAAGAACATTATTAACTTTAGCTAGAGAAGAAAGGAGATAGTTACCCAGTCAGTTCTGTTTTAATGTCTCTGCCATGATTCTCCATGATGCAGATTCTAATGGGGCTCCGTAAGCACAACAAAATGTGGTCATTCAGGTGGGTGTTATAGAAGCTAAAATTATAACCTTACTTGGATTTCATTAAAATGCATAGTCCTTAAAAAATGAATTGCTGTGCTTTCAGTGAGTAGAGTTTGGGACTGACCTGTTTCTGGCTTAAGTAGTCCATCCCTCTAGCGACATCTGCTGCAAAATGCAGAAGCTGCTGAGAGGAAAGTGTAGATGCAGTACTGTTGGCAATAGCAAATGCTGGATCTGTCTCTAGAACTCTGCTTTTCCGAAGGAAGTCCAGTAAGTTTCCATGGGGGGCATATTCAATTGCCAGGTAAAGATACCCTAATGTAAAATCAGATAGCACATCGCAAGGTAAGAGATCACTAATAATAGTATTTGGGCCCTTACACGGCTGTGTGTAAGAAAGAAAAAACAGACAAGAAGGAAAATATCAAACTAATTTCTATATGCAGAAAAGGGTTTAGAACTACTGATAAGCATCATAATTTCTGGAGGATTTATGTGATTTTGTAGCTCCAAAACCGGGTTTGTTTGGTTTTTCAATGGAAATGCTGCACAGAAAGGCCTGATCATGAACTGATGTTTCTGTGGACCAAATGGGCTATGCTGTTTCTTTTAACTAACTCAAAATACATGTACTCAGGAGTCTCTTACCCCGATGTTCGCATGCTCCCAAAAGATTTATGATGTTGGGATGATGACCAAGTTTACAAAGAACTTCAAGTTCTCCAGCAAAGTCTCTGTGATCATCTTTTGAGGCATACTCTGAAAATCAAATCAACATACACTTATGTTTTCATTTGTGTTTCATTTGAACTGATTTTATGATGGTATCCTTGTTAGTTATGATGACTCTGGGCTGCCTGGGGCACTACTGCCTCATCCCCAAAAGAAAGAGGAAAAAACTCTTAAGATGTATCAATCTTTACTGAAAAAAGTATGATTTTTCTATTGAAAGGAAAAAAAAAAAAGGCCAACATTATGCCTGTAGCAGCCATCTGCAGAAAAAGCATCTTAGTATACTAGATATATCACTTTCCCTGTCACTTTCAGATATATCACAAGTTTTTGCAATATCCTAGGTACTGCAGGCCTCTCTGAAACATGGCAGTTATGCGTAGCAAGTACAAAGAGTTAAGTGATCCTGATAATATATACCAATACGCATACATGGTTCTCTCTGAACTACTGAGCAAGGTGACCAAATGCTGTGCTCCAAGGTTAGCTCTGTGCTGTTATCACTCTGAAGTGTATCTCCTAATGACTCCCACTTTACAGATAAACTCACGTATGAGGTTCATACTACACTATGGATTGAAAAATAGATAATACTATTAGCAATTATTATTAGCAATAAATATTAACTATTAAAGAGAAATATGGAGCTGCAGCTTGGCAGAGCAGAAATGCAGTCCTTGCCAAGACATACGTCTTGGCCAGGTAACAGCTGATGTGATTTCATTAGTAACTTTGAATCCTAAGTATTTAAATTTATTTTAGGGCTAGGAGAGGGCTATTCAGCCTTTCTTATGAAGTGCAACACTTGAGCAAACAACCAACAGAAGTCTTTCGTCTCTAACCATTACTACCTTTCATTCTTTTAATCGCGGCATCCATGCGTAAGCCATCCTTCTTAATTCGTGCTTTTAGGACTTGCCCAAAGTTACCTTCCCCAATCACATCTTGAAATTTGATGTCATTCCACTCGAGAACTGGATAAATAGTGGGATCTGGGCTGTTTTTGGCTTTCCTGCTCAGGGTGAGAGTACCTGAGTTAAACTGTACAGCTGGTTCTTCCCTCTATAAACAGAATTAAACAAATGACATTAACTGTGGTTTATACCTTACAAATGTTCTGATTACACTCCTGAATACATGCTCACTCATGTATACATACAGAGCACGGTCTATTTCTTGCTTACAGCAAGTACAGCAGAAAATTATGCCTGCTTTACACACTGGCTGCATCAAGCACCAAGCACTAGTTCTAGATCCACAAAAATTATTCAGGCTCGTTATTTATACCCAAGTGCCTTCATAGAGTTGGGCCCTCTGAACAATTCTATTATAATTATCTTGAGAGCTGAAGGAGATGGGTAAAAATGCTCTTAGAGCCAATTTTAAGTCTCAGGGTAAGATTTATCACATAGTAGGACTGACTAAATCCTGTGCCAGTCAGGCTCAATGAGAAGACTGAGGAAAGGAGAAACAAGAAAGGAAAAGAGAAAATAATCCTTTGCACTTCAGCAAACACTTCAATTGCACATGACCACAAAACACTTTTGTGCAAAAAGGTTTAGGACAAAGAGCAGGAACTGTTCTGCGTGCCCTGGGAACTGATCATCATCTTGAATGAACATGCCTCCAGCCCTGTTTGTATGAAACAACCTATGCAGATCCAGGCAGAGCAGCTCTTTAGCCCGACTTCATTCTACTTCACAGGTGAGAGAACGCACTGGAAGGCAGAGTGATGCAGAGACTCCGGGAGGGTATATAGAGCACAGATAAGGCACAGATAATCTCAGCAGCTCTTTCTCTATCTCTACATGATGTTAGAGCCTTCAGCAGTTTCCTGTGCTCCTCTCAGCCAGGGCTATGATGCTGCCATTGGCTGATCCCTGGTTTCCTGTTCCGGGACTGAAAAGCCATGGTAGAGCAGTTGCTGACGCTCAAAAGCGACAGTAAAAAGTACTGCAGTTTTCAACATAGGGCACAACTTTACAGAGGGAGGACACACTCCTCTATTCTGTCTAGCTTGCTAGTTTTCATACACAGGTGCAGCAAGGCAAAGAAGAGAGATGGTCTAAACAATGTGCATCTTTTTTCAAGTCAGGCCTCTTAGCTTACAAATATGATTGCTTCAGCTCTAGATAACTAGCAGATAAGTTTTACAACAATAGTGCTAATTGCACACATGAAGAGAAGACTATATTTAGAAAGGCTGAAGAACAGGAAGTGGAAAGAACAGGAAAAGGTGGTGCCCAAAATGAATAACCACACTGACTCAGGAAAACTGGAAACCCACCACCACATTTTGGAAAGCCTGAGCCATTCTGCGCTGGAAGTTGGCTCGCTTTAACTGTAGCATGATGAGAAAGGCCAGGAGAATTGTTACACAGGTCATCCCTGCAGAGCCGAGGATAGCGATAAGCAGCATTTTGCTTCCCTTTGATTCATATGGAGCTGTTGATGAAACACAAAGAGTTCTTCATTACTTCCAGCTAACTCTGAAAGAGCTGTTAACAGTGCATAGCTAGATAGTCCCAAATTGTAGACAAACTATAAAGACATGAAAGTACGTTTCTTTCTTTTCTAAAAATGTCACAGACGCTGGATGCTCTGATTTTTCAATGTCTGAGAAGCTGTAGCCCCTCTTGAATTCCGGCAGATGTACAACTTCACTGCAGGGTGGCTAATCTCAATAAAATTCACTAGAGAGTGCAAGTCAGAGGTCAAATTAGGTGATGTAACAATCCTATACTCAGCTCATTAGTTTATGAGCTGTTGGGCACTTGCTAGTGTATATACACCAGTGTTGTATGTTGCCATTTCTCCAAGGCCGTGCAATGAGCAGGGAATCAAACTCTGGTGCTGCTATGTCAAGTGTCAAAAATCAGAGCAAAAGTAAAGTAATAAATTAATGTTTAAGGCTTAATTTCAGCTAACTAGTCTATACTATCAGCCCTAGTTTGTGCACATCCAGCATGCTGACCAACCTTTAGTTTCTGGAAGAGTCTTCAATTCAAAGGATGTGTTTGGGTTGCTCAAGCCAACATTATTCTGAGCATTAATCTGTACCTGGTATACAGTGTTTGGCTCAAGCCCCTTGAGATGGTACTGAGTAATGGTAGTGTTCTTTATGATAATATCGATGTGGTTGTACTCAGCCTTGCCATAAATTTTGTAGCTGATGATGATGGAGGAGATGGAATGCCCCTCAGCAGTTGTCCAAGAGATGACAGAGGATGTGTCTGTGGTGTTAGAAAACCTGATGTTGTAGGGTGCAGGAGGGATTCCTGCAAACAAACACAAGGACACACAAAACATTCTGGAGTATATCCACATCTTTCTCCTTCCCTCTCCTTCCCTTCAGTGTGACAAATACTTTCCTCAGAATTTTGTTGACAAGCTATGCTAACTGAATGCAATTGTTTTTGAACTTGATGTGCTATCACCCATATTGCAGTACTAAGCACTTCCAGCAGAGGTTAGAGTGGCATGCTTCTGTCCTTGGAAAAAGATGGGAATGCTCCAGACAGTACTGCAAGACAACATGATTGCCTTCAGATTAATGCAGAAAGGGTTTGTTTACTCTTATACCGACTTGTCATCTCCATGTGATTGCCAGGTCCTATACTTTCCACTGCTACGGAGAGCTTCAGGAATTCAGGAACATTAGTGCAGCACACTTAACAAAGCTCTGCTCTCAGCGTATTTACCTTGCATTGCATCTTCTCTTCCTTCTTTAAAAGCTGACTCTTTCAGTATTGACATAGCTGAATTACAGGGTCTGAGTATGTTTTTTGTTTGTTTTTTGGGGGAGGGGGTTGGAATAACAAAAGAGCTTGGAGTATGGAACTTTGTCAGTTCATCATTATAAGGAGAAAAAAATGCTAAGTGTTTTAAAAGCATCATTCACACTGAAACAGAACACATGGACTCCCAAGGTTTTTGTTTGTTTGTTTGTTTTCAGTTTTTAGAAAAATCCTTATGAGTGCTTGATACTTCCCAAAGTAAGAATTGCTTTGGACACTGAACTTATCTTCATGATAATAATAATAGCAACAACAAGAAGTGGTCCTCAGAAGCTGAGTGTTACCAAAACAAAGGATTACATTTCTTGGAATCATTAGCTGATGATAGAACTCTGATCACTGGAGAAAAGAGAAAAAATTAAACAGAAGAAAGTGAATCAGCTACTTACTGTCACTGAAAGTCCATGCATACAGATAGTTGCTCCATTCTCCTTGTGATCTGGTGTTCACCCGTACCCTGCACATGTATTGCTGTCTAGGCTCAAGGTCTTTTATGATCAGAGTGGACATATTTCCTGGCACTTGGGTGATAACACTGCTCTCGTCACCATTGTCATTCACACTCTTCCTTTCCACTTCAACATGAATGTCATCCTCTGTCCTCAGTGTTAAAGGATGCCATGACAAATTCAGCGATGTCATACTTTTTGGAAGGAGGGTGAGGCCTTCTGGTGGAGGAAGACCTTGGAGGAGCCACAGTGAGACAGGGAATAACATTTCATGTCTGGTATGCAAGCTAGAATAGGGGTACCAGTTATTCCCTTGTCCCAACCACAGGCCATAGCCTAGAGTGACAAAGGATAATTCTCTCCCCCTCCCCACAAATTTGACTGTCATTCAAGGTGTTGATAGGCACAAAGTGTCTTATCAAGTGGCTGTTGGCATACATGGTAACAGATGGATCTCTTCACTGAGCTAGTGATGCGAATGCACTTTTTAGACAGGAGAAGAAGCCAGCTCTTTTGTGGTCTTTTTTGAGAATTTCTGTTGGAATCTGCATTCGTTTTGTATGTTAGCATTTAATTTTGGTGGTTTCTTCAATAGTTTGGACCTGTTCTGTGTGTTCAAGCATCTTAATTTTAAAAGTAAACTGATCTAATAGGAAGGAGTGATCTAGAGGAAGGACTCGCATGCAAAAGAAGTGATTTCTATTGCCAACTCTGCTGCATACTCAGACAAAATATGCAAACTTTCCATTCCCAGATTTCCCATCTGTGAATCAGGGAGAATAATAGCTCTGTCTCCCATATAAGGTGCTTTTCTTCACCTCTCATTTTTTTACTTTGCCTGAGATTGCTTCAAAAGGCTCTAAACAGACTTCAGGTCAAGCCCTTCTTTGCTCAAATGAAAATGCTCTGGCAGAGATCAGAGAACAATCCACAGAAGAAAACAACTGAAACATCCCTCCTGTGAAAAGCCAAGCTCATGACATACCAAGCGCAGCGGTTGTGAAGCTGGCCTGCGGTCCAGGATGGCCTTCCCCACCTTCACCTTGCCGACTCAACTGAACACAGAACTGATACTCTGTTTTTGGTTCCAAATTGTCCAGTCTTTTGGTTGAGCCTTTCACTGAGAACAAAAGGAGAAAGGAATAGTAAAGCCATAATCCATAATGGAAAATGCTAAAAAAGAAAAGGTTTGGAAAATGTTCCTGAATCACAGAAAATGGAAGGTAAAATACTCGTGCTCTTCTGGTGTTCCCATGCACTAAGACAAACTGTTATAGACAAACTGTTATAGTACAGAATGCTTATTATTAATGAATGTGGCAAAAGCCAGTCATAGCCACTTGGGCTCAGCCCAAGGGATATTCCGTCTGTCCTTCCTTCAGGACGAAATAAGACTGATTGCTTAGGTAGTGTGTATTATGTATGCAGATTTTGTATGATCTTGAATTAATGTAACAATTATTTGTTTCTTGTTAAAGTTCCTGTAATGTTTACTTTAATATTTTAGGTCTTTCGTGTGGTCATAGTAAAAGAGGACTGGAAGAGGTCGTCTAACTCACAAGCATATTCAATTTTACTTGTACCACTCCTGGTAAATAAAAAAAAAAATATATATATATATTTATTTGTTTATCTAAATAAAAACATATTTGTCTAAATAGATGACACAATAGATAAGAAGGAAGATTGTAAATACTCTAGGACATCCCTGTGCTGCTCACTGGTTTTGAAAACCTGATATATGCAGGGGAGTTTTCAACAGCTGAGCCCAGCACTGAGGGCTGTGTAAGTTGGCAGAGGGGAGAACCTTTTGGTCACTTGAATAGACACTTGTAACTGCTACTGATGTGCCACATCCACATTAATATTATGCGGTAATGATATGCAGAGAGTTACATGTCCAGTCATGAAAGATTAAATGTTTATAGACTGTAGAGTCTTTGAGACTAAGTGAAGAGTAGCAACCACATTAGAAATAAGTTTCAGCATGCAGCTAACGTTTATTTTTAGTAGAATTAAAGACCGGACTCTTACCTTCTACAGACATCCAGGACTGATAACGTTTGGCTGGCTTGTACAGGAGTTTTGTTGAAACAACAGGTCCATCTCCAAGATGTAACTCAGCATTGATATCAATAATGAGAAAATTGTGTCCACTGTCTGTCAGCCTTGGGGCGTACTGAGGCACAGGAGGAACTGAGCAAGAATGCAAGTATTAAACTAGCCTTTTAATTCCCTACATCAGTAAAACCCTGGCACTTTCCTAGATTTACAGGAAAATGGGAGAAGTTCTTACAAAGCCCTACAAAATAGGGGTTTATATCCTAAAGCTTGTGGTTTACATCTTTCCAAGAAAACTTTTTTTTTTGTCATCTTTGCCATCACACTTATTTTCCAATAAATGTCATTAGGATGCTGCTTATAACAGGCTTCTATTCATATTCTGATGGCAGATATTTATTCAAACATTTTCCTACGGTGCAGAGAATAGAAGCCCTGCCACATTAGAAGAAAGCTGCCTTTTAAAAAAAAGGCAAATGCATTTGAAGAGATTCATACTCTTACCTTTAACTGTAACTTGAAATGGTTTCTCTGCCATTCCTGCCACTGTCTGCACACTGCAGACCCAGGTTCCCGTATCACGGGGCTGAATTCGATTAATAGTAAACATAGCTTCAGAGCGATTACTAGTAACGATTAGGGAAGGCTGAAATGACAAAACATATAGGACCTGAAAAATGCAGTCATTTTAAAAAGTCCTCATGTCACTTTTCTCATAGCTTAGGAAGTCATCCAGAGTTTAGTGAAGGCAGTAGAGAGGCCTATGTCAATTACGTACGCTTTTTACATGCTCCAATTCACAAGTCCTTATGCTCCTCATCTGATGACTACTGTTTTTGATCATACATCTCCTTTCCTTCTGTTTAAATCAGCAGCTTTTTTAGTCTTTGTATATCGCATGTAACTTTGATCCACAAGGTTGACTGAATAATCACTGAGTATTTCAGATAATAATTTGCTTCCACTCTGTTTAATAACAAGGTGTACATCTTTTGCCATTTTGTCCAAAAAATCAGGACTTCTGGCTGTTCTCATTTATGAGAACATTGCCATGCTCTGACTTACTGGTTGAACAGTACCTAGCCTATGTGTTGCTCATGAAACACTTGTCTAAATCACTGGCTGATTATTATTTTGCTTGGTTTGTGAGTGACCCTTCAAGTCATGTGATTTCCTGCTATATTTTAAGCTTCTTTAGCAGTAATACAACAAATAAAGAACAGCAAATAATGAGGAATATGGTCATCTCAGAATACTGGAATTTCACATTTTCACATTTTCTGCTTGAAAGGCATAGTGTACATATTAACTACAAACAGAGTCACTAAATACCAGAAATAATAGGAAGTGATTGATCAGGAACCTACCTTAAGGACAGTTCCATCTTGTTTCAACAATTTAAATTCTTCAGCTTTAGGAAGTGGCATTCCTTTAGCTATACAAAAAGGCTTGAAACCTACGCCAG